TTGTTTAGCAAGCCGCTCATAATTTTGACACTTTTTGGCTGCCGTTCGCTCCTTCTGGGGCAGGCAAATGAGAGAAGGTTCTCTGCCCCAGGCAGGACTCTGGACATGTCCAGGTTGCTGCACACTTGGTGTAGCGCAGAAGATAGAGGATATAGCACAAAGGCATAGACATGGCAAAGTTGGCAAGTATTTCTGCGGTTTTATCTATGCAAAAGTAAACTTTTGGCGCTCGCTGCGGTTTTTTGCACCGCTTTGCATTGCAAAATAGTTGAGGTTTGGAGAGGGAGGTGGCCATGGCATGGCAGTGCTCGCCTTTGAGGCCTGCTTAGGCATTAATGTTGTCCTTGTGTTTGTGGCAACTGCTACAACGACCGCTGCTTGAGGTTCCTTTGCCAGCAACAACCAGCGAGAGGACGAAGCCACGGCTAATTAATGAGAGTTTTAGGAGTTCTCTGGCTAAGTAGGTTGCCATTTTTGGCTACAGTTTTCTTTGAGTTTATGTAGCGAGAATTCTTGGCTTAAGCCTTAAATGGTGGAGAGTTTTATCAAGCTATTTTCATGGGCAATGGAAGTATAACTATAAATTATTTAAGTTATTCCACAAATTCCCATCACACAATCAACTGGAATACGTTTCCTTCAGCTGTTGAATCTTCACATTAATTTCCTATCCAACAGCAGTCTGGCGGCCATAAGGAGGTCTCTGCCTCATTGCCCTTTGTGCCCATCCAAAGCAAACACTCCTCACAGACAAATGGACGTCAGACAGATGGGCAAGTGAAAGTTCACAAATGGACAGGCCTCTCAATGCCTCTACGACTATTGTGCTACGATGGCACATGATCGTATCGCCCGCACCCCGTGCTGCCGTTGCCCAGCTCAGCAGGTAGTCCAGTCCAGTTCAGTCCACTACGCCAAAAGGGTCAGTTACAACACAGAGCCAACAAGGTGCGCCAAACTTAATTTGAACAAAGGGGCGGGACACACACACAGGGCCCACAGTGCGGGTGGTGGTGTTGGGTCTATGGGTAATGCACGGTCTGGATAGGGGCAGTGCATGCATTGTAATGCAGCCTGATGTTTAACAAAAGAGCTCTGCTATGCCCTGCCAGTGCAGATGACAAGCAGAGCGATGCATAACCAGAGACGGGGTGAACCTACCCACGTGGCTATACATAAAGAGTTGATGTTGAAGGGTTGGTCCGATGGCATTAACCTGCTTAATGGCGGACACAACCGAAAAAAGAGTGAAACGTAAGTACATCTGTACATACATATACGGACATTCCCTCATGGGTGATATGCGAAACCGAGTTGAGGCCCCGCAAAGGTCTTGGTGGCGGGGGAAAAATTTAAAAGCGCCCGTCGTTCAGTCAGTTTGTCTTTTATTATTCATTTTGATGGACTTTAAGCACTTTAAGTTGCCCTTTTTCAGCGCTTTTCCCTTTGCTGTGGCTGCTGTTGACTGAAAAATAAGGCACCTGGGAAATTTGCGTAAATGCTGACGCCAGCAGCATATAAATAAAGGAAAAGATATGCGATATTTATTCAGTGTAAAGCAACTTACACGTGTATTCGTGAGACCCGAAAGGAGTGGGAAAAGTTGTAATTAAATTATAAGCGATTCGAAAGCTGCACACACCTTATGGACGCGTCGGGGCAGAATGTCCAAATATATCCATGGCAATCAGTGTGTTTCTCGAGTTATGTGCTCGTGAGTTATTCACGTATTTAAATATCAATTTAATTTAAACCGCGGCCGCAAATGGCCGTTGGAGTTGCAGCCGCAACATTTCATTTATGAGCCACAAACATGTTTCAAAATAGCTGCCAAATGCACATTAACCACACCAAAGTCAACCACCAACTGAGCCACAGAGAGAGAGGAGAGAGGAGAGAGTGCCACAGACTGCAGCTCAAACGAGGAAAACTATGTGCATTCATAATACAAATTTATGAGCTCAGCCTCCAAAGAAAAAGTTGTGTTGCAGGGGGAAAACAGTAACAGAAAAGTTTTGTCAGTAAAGCACAGACAGGAACAAGAAGAAAAATAGTAGTAAAATGCGAAACAGATAGAGAGAGAGAGAGAGCGAGAGAGTTGAAGCAAATTGCTTTGTAAAAACATCAACTTCATTGCCATTATAAAGTTCAACAAATGCAATTTGTATGCAACACTGCGACGCATCAGGCAAAAACAGGTAACAAAGGGCGAGAGAGATGTATACATGGACAGAAAGAGAAAGGGGGATGGACTCCACAGATAGATGATAAGTAAACAACAATTACCCAAGCGAACCCACATTTTCCATTGCATTGTTGTGGATAGAATTTGTATTTCACTTTTCCTCCCACACAAGCGCAGCAAATAAACTTTTCAATGGAAAACTTTTCTTGGATTTCAGTTCAAAATGGTTTTTATCAATTTCCTAGTGTTTTCCAAACCAACTTTTTAAAGAGTTTTTTGTTCTTTTGGCATGCTGAATAGTTCCTGGCGTCACACATGGCGTATGTGCAATTTTTGCATGGCCCCGTAAAGTATGCAGCGGAAAAGGAGGAGCGATTCTCCTGCTTCCCAGAGTCAATTTAGCATGCAGCTAATAAATATAAGCATTCAACTTTGCTATGATATCCCTGGCACCAGCACCCATGTCTGGGCGCCTCCTTTTTGATGGACGATGGCGGGAGTGGCAGGAGTATGCCACACAGTGGTGTGCACACCAGACAGAGCAATCGGGGCAGCCACCGCTTCGGTGAGGCGGCAATATTTCAGCACTCAACTCGACAGCCAAGTGTCTGGCGGGAGATGGGTCGGGGTCTGCCCGAGTTTTTAATAAGCAACCAGAGGAGCGGAGCGGCGTCAAATGCCAGAAGTTTGATGAAAGTAAAGGCAGGCAGCTTGTCTGGCATCAGCTTCCTCCTAGAGCCGGTTCAGCCCCACTTTTACTGGCATTGCAGTTTTCAAAATTGAATAAAGCTGACAAACGAGGCGTGGCAGCAGCAAACGCCCCGCAGGGGAGACGGAGACGGAGACGGACAGGGGAGGTGAAAGGTGATAAATTCTCAGCGAACGTCACAGTCTGAAGTGTCATCAAGAGCAGTTGAAGCAAGTGAAAAAAAAACACAGACACACACACACACACACACAAATTTAATTGCAAGACTTGGCAGCTGTGCAGAGCTGTGTAGAAAATGGTAGAAAGGCAAAAAGAGAGGAAACGGAAGTATACGGGTCAGGAAAAATGATTTAGGAAAATGCAATTTGTGAAATGAGATAAAAACTGTAGAGTCAGATTCGGCATGGAAGCTGAAGCCGAAGCCAAAGCTCCTGCAGCAGCAGCTCCTGGAGGGAGAGCACGAAATAATTCAATTGGGGTGGTGAGATAAAATCGGTAGCTTGGAATACGTTTTATCGGGCACCAAGCATGTGAAGTGTCAGATAGAAATATATCCTAAATAATCGTAAATAAAAGTGTAGCAATTCCACTTGTCCTCCACGCAACTTCAATTTATTCAAGTATCTAAACATTACCCAACACAAGCAAGTAGGAGGCAAGACAAATTGCATTAACGTTTAATGTGGTGCCAAATGGACAAATGAGCATCCACCTGGCCATAAACCAAAGACCAAAATGCCATACACTCGAGCATTAATGCCACATTCTTGTCGGGCTTTACTTTTACACCTCAGACCTCAGCGTTCTGCCCCCCTAAGCCACAGCAATGGGCGGGCCATTCATAAGCCTCAAGGTTAAACCGTTAAACATCATTGACCAACATCAAAGAGCCATTGTTTTCGGCCAGGCCAAATGGACCAGAAGAAATACTAAGCTATGAAAATGAGAATGGGCATTGAGCCGCAGCTGAAGAGCAATACAAGAGCCGAAGACGAAGAGTGACCTCCTCATATTCCATGCCCATTCCTATGCCCAATGTGTGAGTAATGAACAGACTTCCATGGCCTGTGCGTGGCCTTTTATTCAGCCACTGGCCCACCCACATTTACAGAATTTACGATTTTTGTTGAGTTCCGTTTCAGTCTGTAGAGAAGCTATGGCCACAGCCAGCTCATTAATTTCGCTTAACTTCACAAATTGCCAATTGTGCGCATTGGTCAACAATTTGACTTCGTTTCGATGTTGGTGTTGCCACTGCTGGTGGTGCTGCTGCTGGTGGTTCGTGGTTGACCGGTCTCTGGACCCCCAAGTCCCAGCTCCAACTCCATGTCGATGCTCATGTCCATGTCCAACAATTTCTTCTCTATTGTTCTCTCAGTCGTATTTATTGCCTTGAATGCCAATTTGTTTCGTGCTGCCATTGTTATGCACTTAAGAGGTCAAGGTATCTCGATTCAGTTGTAACTTTGGTGGATTTTTTATTGAAGATGAAAGACTCATTATCTTGTGTAATAATTCCAGCACTGCCTTACATGCAGCACTTACAGAAGAATTCACAACTCACCGGAGAACACACAAAGCATAGCTTCCAAGCAGACATTCATTTGTTTATCCCTCACTTGTTAGGGCATTCAAGATCCGCTCTTTGGGCTCCTACCATTGCTTTTTTTCCTGGTTGTGTCGTTGCCTGTTGGTGGGGCTTTTCCCTGTTGCCTTTGCTGTTGCTCTCGGTGCCGTCTGCGTGGACATGAATTCTTAGTTTATGAACTTCAGTTGGTCCAACTTCTGGTTAATGTTCATCTGGCATGTTACCTCAATCTGTGCCTATTCCACTTCCAGGCTCCCTGCCTCTGCCTCTGCCTCTGCCTCCTCCTGTGGACACAATAAAAATTGTGACAAATTGTCATCGCACGGCGCAAATGGTGGCATTATTAATGTGAGCCAACTTTTATGGTGTGGCCCAGGCGGCGTATGCGTAATGTGAATGATGTGTTGAGGGTGGCTAGAAAATGCTCAGGGGAAACGAACGAATCATACCACACGATGTGGTACCTCCCAATAAATTAGCATGAGCAAACAAGCACTAAACCTTTGTTGTTTCCGCAGGATGTTGAAAACATTTACTCTCCCAACTACATAACGGGAAAGCTAACTCAGAAAAAGGAGGAACAACTGGGCACGCCCGAGGCAGCGCTCAAAACCCGACGACAACAAGCCCTCATGCAGAAGCGGGAGCGAGGTAAGTCCGGGGTAAGCCCGGGGTGTGGGCAGCGCCGAGAGTAAACGGGAATTCCCATTGCAGCTCTGGCCCAGGCCCACATGCATCAGGTGATGACGGATGCCACCTGTCGCGTGCCCCAGCCACGTTGCCAGCGCGTCCAGCAGGACCCCTCGAAAATCTACACGCCCCACTGCACCGTTCTGCACCGTTGCAGCGAGGACAGCGGCTGCTGCCCCAGCCGCACCCAGCTTTGTGCCGCCAAGAGCACCCACAACGTTGAATTGCATTTCTTTGTGAGTACAACAATCGAATAATTATGCTGAGAATTTAGGAAAAGGAACCACAATTCAGCACGCTTATTTCAATAATTTCTGCTTTCCTTTCCTGTGTGCCAAATAAATTGAAACTGTCGTCCCCCGTTTCATCAGCAGTTCAAATATCATTTTCAAACTTGCTTTATCTACGAGTATAATTATTATAGCAGTTTTCTATTAACAACCTTTAGTAGCACCCAAAACAGCACAAACAAACACAAAAATAAAAGTAAACCAATTTTCATTCTGATGTCGGGCCAAAGGCACTCATTGAGTGCACACGAGCAGAAAAAATGTTTAGAGCTGGTAGAAATATCGATAATTGTTGGATTACAATGCCAAGATTTTCGCGGTAAAATAAATTACTTTGTTTGCCATGGGAGAGGCAGTTTTACTCTGTTTAAAAATTGCTTCAACTATGGGGAATTAATTGTACATTGGAATTATAGAAGCTGCACAAGAATACATTTAAAAGATGTATTTGCGTACATAATATGTATACTATAAGCTTACATTTTTATATCTGTATTCCCTCATCTAATGACCCACTCACGCTCACCGCTCTCACTCCCACTCTGGTTCTCCTACCTTCGAGCGTAATTGTCGTTGTCGTTGCTCTTGTTTGCTCTTAATGTGGTTCGTGGGCGCAGGTCATGCTTGAGGGCACCATATTGCAGCATAATTACATCGCTTCACCTTTATTTTCATTTTCATTTTCATTTTTACCTTTTTTTTCCGTGGGTACAAGCGAAGTTCTCTTTTTCTCTGTGGGCTCTCGACTGAAATGACTTTTTAATGACGCAATGATAATTCAATTTGTTTGGTGATTTATGCTCCACGATATGATTATTGTTGCTGCCGTTTGCTGTGTCCATTGCTCCGTGGCTGACATTGTTCTTGCTGCTTTTTGTTGCATAACGAGCTTGCAATACGAATACGAGAATATATGTGGACATTGAGAATGTAATTAAGCATTTGATAGTGGGAGGAAACTCAATTTGTTCAATTTGAATGTGCCACAGCATTGGATGGCTGTTGATTTGATGTCAGTCAGATTGTTGATAATTATATCAGAGCATGTTAATGAGAAGAACGTAAGGATTCAACATAAATCAATGCCAGATGAAGTTATGTGGAAACTAATATGGAATCTAGCTGCAAGCAGAATTGAGCTCCACTTGAAAATATGATAAGCCAGTGCAGATAAGCTTTAATTAAGAGTGAAATATTTAGGTGAAAGCTTACATAGAAAATGATGAGAGAAGACTAAAGTTTGAGCACTTTGAATATTCACTCCAGAGCAACCTCTCTACTTCATTTCTTACAAGGGAAAATACCAATTCGCTTGGCAATTCCCTGAGATCCCTCATCGCCCTAACATATGTATCCTGTGACCTTCTTTTGGAAAGCAAACATATGCCCTATTCTTCATTATTTCTCACAGTGAATCCTGCTACTGCTTCGCCTGCATTTGCTTAGTTTTCCATTATGAAAAGCTCTTTTCTTGTTGCCCAACTTTTTGCAGCTGCAACGTTTCGTTTTTTTGTAGACCCTTCCAGCGAGGCATCCGAGGAGCTCGTAGCTCTGAGCTCTAAACTCTTCGGATGGCTTTTAATTTTCAAATATTTATGCTGCGCTTGCCGCAAAAAGTTTCCACTTTCAAGATTTATGCGCACACACCATTGGGATGGATGTGGCGGGGGGACAAGGGCAACGGCAACCGCAAAATGCTTAAGAACAAGAAAAACACACCCACATATGAGCTCGGTTAGCAAGGTATTGGGGCATGGAGCCAGAAAAGCTTCCTCCGCTTAATTATCCAATAAAACTTTGCAGCAAAAACCACACAAATTATTGTAGCGGCAGGGAAGCAAAAACCTTTTTAAGAAGAAATAAAAGATGAATGGAAGGAAATGGGAGGTTTATTTCTTGAAAGATTATTCCAAGGAAGTATTCGGGTGAATTCGGGGACAGTAGTTTTCTTTTCATTCTTCATAGGCAGCGGAATAGTTATTTTTCAACCCAAGCATTTTTTAGCGTCCTTTTTGATACTCGTATCTTATCCCCCTTCCGTAATGCCTAAAATGCAAGCCATAAAGCACAACAAATATGTCTGGCCAGGAGGTTCAGGAAGCTGTAGTTGCCTTTCAAAGCTGTTGGCATTCTAGAGCTTCACCACACACAGACACAGAAGATGTGCAACAAAAACCAGAAGGAACTCAAGAAACAGTCCAGGAAGGAGCAGGAAAAGAGGGAGAAGCAGCAGCAGCAGCAGAAGAAGAAGTCTGGAGCTGCGGAAGGGAGCCGAACCCATCTCAGCGGTTTGTCACTGAGAGGTGTCAAGTGGCAGGCAAACAGCGTGAGACCCAAGCAAGTGGAGGAACCAGAGGGCAGCAGGGATGCCAGGGATGCCAGGGAAGCCTTGAGGCGAGGAGAGATAACCAAACGGAGAGGATGCAACCAACAAGAAGAAAAGGCAATGCTCACATCGTATGGCGATGCTAAGATACCCTGATAAAGACCACATTATGATACATTTATTGCGAAGATTCTTCCACTAGCACTTGAAGTAGGACAACCCAATTCAAGCCAAAGCAAATCAACAATACAATTTGCAGGTTTCCTCCCGCCTCCACATTCCAAACAGCTTGTCATAAGCCCAATACCCTTCACAGGAGTATAAAGAAGGAGAAAAAAAGGTTAAACAGTTTAACACAACATAATTTATGTTGCTCAAATGTTCACTTTGTGGGGAATGCAAAAAAGAAACGAACGCGGTGGGGGTAAGATTCTGCATTGCGGAACGTTCGGCAAGGGGCAATGCACTCCACACCCACACACACATGCAGATCTTGCAAGCGTTGAGAGATTTATGAGTTGCTCGCATGGTCCTCCCCGTTCTCTCTGGGGTTCAATGCACTCAACTTTCACCCAGGCCGAAAAGGCGACAGGACAGTGCCAGTGCCAGTGCCAGTTCCGCAGCCACAGGCAGGAGAAGTTGTGGCTAGAAAAGCAAAGCTGAAATCAAAAGCCTCTAAACGTGAAAGCCAACGCCCACCCACACAGCCACACCCACACCCACACTCACCCAAAGCCAAAACGCAAACGCAAAGCCAACAAACAAAGTTTTGCTTGTTTAGAGCAAAGTCAAAGCTGGGGCCAAGACCAAAGTAAAAGTCAATTGGCTGACAGGCAAATGGCTATGGTTATGGCCATGTCCCAATGTGCTCCGCCGGAACGCAGGCGATTTAATTAATTTGCCACAAAATGTGGCTAGCCCAAGGCACATGCACAATCAGCTCCAGATGAGCATTCATTTTGCTAAGCTAAACAATGCTGTCAGCAGAGGGGGGGGGGGGGGGTGGCACTCTCGTGACACATCCGCCGCCAGTTTCGAGCTGCGTCATGCAATTTTCCCAAGCATAAATCCCCGGCCCAACAAAAGAGAGAGAGAGAGAGAGAGAGAGAGACAACAGTTACACAGGCGTAGGTGTGGTACACTGAGGCAAATTTTGAACAGTGCGCAAAGGAGTGCAGCTATTCATGCAGGAGACTTCGATGGTTTCCGGGCACATATTTTGCTCAGTGTAGACGTTGAGTCCGGGGCAAATGCAAATTGCGAGCACGTAAGCAGGCAGCAGGAGCAGCAGCACCTGCCGGACCCCAAGCGAAAGCTTCTCTAAAGCTCCACTGATGTTCCCGTTATGAAATGGATGAGAAATGGTCCCTCCCTCTCTCCCTCTCTCTCTCTCTCTCTCTTTCTCCTACGCTGCTAAAACTTTACCAGAAATGCTGATGACAGTTACCGTTTTGCGCTCTTCGCAAGTCTCGCCTAAGCTCTCCACTAATTTGCTGGATGTGTGTTTACTCCAGAAAGTCCAAAGATTCATTTGCCAAAGTTCAAAGTTCTCGAACTAAATTCTCCAATTGCGTTCAGGTGGAAAGTGGAATGTTCCTGGGAAAACGGGGCAAAAATTGTTTGAATGGAATAACAAAAGAGAGTTTACTAGGTTAGAGCTAATTAAGGATTACTATCCATTATTTAAGCCATTTTACTTGAATTCTAAACAATGTTTTGGACTTTAAACATTCCGCATGGAGTGTCCAACGTGCTAGTCCGTTCTAATTCCGCTTATTCATAATTTAAAATACAATGCTCATACATTTTGGAGCACAAGCACTCATTGAATATTCCTTGATGTAAGCCAAGCTCAATCCTCTGGTGGGAGTCTCCAAGTGCATACTTTTAGTGTTTTGCTCAATTTGGGTTAGAGCTTGTTTGGGGTTAGAAACAACAAAAGAGTAGAGTAAAGTGCATGCAAATTTGGGAAAAACATTTTATACACATATTGCTGTCTTAATCGCACTTCAGCCAGCTCCCAGAACGCAGCAATAACTGACTAATTGCTCAAGTCACATGGCTACACACGGACGGACGGACACTCATGGACACACGCACATTCCCTGCTCGGGAGAGCACAGGGGACAGAGGGCGAGGGCGAAAGAATGCCTGGCACTTGCATGCACAGAAAAGCTAACCTCAATTAGAGAAGCCATCTTGGAAAATAAACCCGGGTGGGGTGGGGCACACTTATAAACAATATGGTTATACATCAGGCTATAGGCACAGTTTTGCATATTTGCAGGAGAACAGGAGAACAGGAGAAGCACTTTGGTGCCGTTTTTCAGCTCAAAAGTGGTCAGAAGAGGGCGTGGCGGTATAAGCACAGGGGTTAAAGTAACAACAGCAGCACTTTTGCACTTCCGTTTCCGGCAATTACTGTGGCTCTTAGTGCACAAAAGGGCCACAGTTTCAGTTGCAATCCAAGGTTTCTCAGAGCAGCAGGCTCTCCATGGTGGAATTTGTGTTGTGCCGTTGCATGCGAATACCAAAACCCACAGCATGGGGGCAAAGGAACTTTCTGCTGAGCATGAACAACTTTTTCAATTCGTTGCATTCGAGAGCATTTGCATAAGCATTGGCCAAAAAACCACACAGCAGGCAGCACGAGCCGAACTACCTTAAAACTCAATTTGCTGCATTTTCATAAATACATTCAAGGAATTTTGGTGGGAAGTATTTCTCCTCTCCTTTGTCAACTTATTGGGTTTGTTAGTTGTTCCAGTTTGATGCGTCCAATCAAAATTCAAATGCTTCACAGATTTTTCTCCCTCTCTCTCTCTTGATTCAGCAGAAGGTTTTGTTTCCCTTACCTATTTTTTTGTGTCTGTTCTGCTTTAATGTTTGTCTTTCCTCCCACAACTGCTCTCTGAGTCTTGATTAATAACCAACTTGTTATTTTAATTAAACGAATTCAACTTCATTTATGCAATTCATACGCATTTCATCATTTTGCACTTGTCATGCAACACACACAGAAGGAGAGTGGCAGAGAGACATGGGTCCACAGTCCCCAGACTAGAGAGCCAGAGAAGTCTTTTGCAGTCTGCTAATGGCTCTTGAACAGAGGCGTCCACCCAAATGCAAGGGGGATGTGCCATGGCAAAGAGTTGCAAAGAGTTTTTGGTGCTTATTTACGATACAAAATATCCAATATAAATACTGCTGACACTTTTCCAAATATTCAAGATTTCTCCATTGAGAACCCCCGAACGGACCGCTTGCCATAATCCGACTAAGCCGCTGACATTGACAACTGACAACTCATTTAAGAATTACAAGAGCTATAGAGCCACAGGGCGACAACGAGCCATGGCAACAATGACAACAAGAAGTCTGATGAGCAGTCGGCTTAAGGAACTGTCAACACATAAACATGTACATGTGCTTGTGGGCTTTCAGTGGGGTTTCTTTATGCAAGCTCAATATGCAAATAGTTTGCTGACGTAATTAATGCGTCAACAATTTGTATGATATGGCAGCTCTGATTAAGGTCCTAACACCCCGTTCTCTGGCCAATTGACAGGTGAAAAGCAATAAGCAGCATCGCCCCATTATCGAGAAGAGAACTTTTGTGAATCACACCGAATGCCACTGCATTGAGAGGTCCAATTTCAAGGAGGATGCCGTCGCCCTGGCCAGCACTTCCATTGTAAGGGCCACCATCCTGAGCTGCACTTGTCCGCGCAGCTTCGAGGTGATCCTGCAGGACAATGGCCAGTGCCGCTGCGATTGCAGCTCCGGCAACTACGACTGCGACTGGTTGAAGCGGGGCAACGAGCACTTTGCCGTGGACGATCGCAAGTGAGTCAAGCTACCAGGAAGTGTTTCCTTTCCCCAACTCTACCCCGTATCTATCCCTCTTTCAGATGCATAAAACACGGCGGCTGCAAGCCCCCAACCTGCGAGTTCGGCCACTACATGGACAAGCATGGCCGCTGCCCCAAGCAGCATGAGCAGCCCGTCTACAACGCCATGTCGTAAGCGGAAGGAGCATACCCCACTCTCAAGTAAACCTGGAAAAGTATTATTCGGTCTGTGCACAGTCGCGCAGGCAGGCAAAAGTTGAAAGCAAAACACCAGGGATGGAAAGGCAAGGGAAAGGCAATATTTCCATTCAAACAAAAGAGAATAAAGTGAATTTAGTTGCATATCCTATACAAATCCCATACGAATAAAACCACAGAAATCTATCTAGATATTTCCCGGACATACCTTTATTGATATAGATATCTGCTGACTGTCTGTTAGATGTTTTACTACCCGACACTTATTCTCCAACATCTGTCAAGCAAAAGCAGCTAAAGGAAATTCTACACAAATGCATCTCTAGCAAAAACAAGAAACAAGACTTTTTCGAGCATTTTTGAATCCACAAAGAAAAACTCATAGAAACTGCAGCAATATGTAGAACTGTTCATAAATGTTTCCACATTAATTATGCCTACGAATACATATTATGATGAAGAAAAGCATTGCGGAAAGCTATAAGAATGTGTGTTGATGAGAATGAAAAATGTAATTCCAAATATATAAATGTACTGCGTTTTAGTTTTAATTAAGTAATGTTATGTTATTTAATTATAATAAACGAAAGAGAAACAAACGAACACAAATCATTAAAATTACAATTAAAAATACATAAATTACTTATAAACGAGCATAAACATAATAAGCATTCATGTTATTAGTTATTAGCCCAGTTTTAACACAAAGCAAAAACACACAAAGGAATCACAAGCAAAATTAAATTTACATATTTAATTTCTAGTCAAATTTTAATTTTGTTTTCTCTTTGCCGGCCAACAAAATGTTGTATCCAACACTCAAGCAAGCGAAAACAAAAGGCATTTAAAAGCAGACACACAAGCATAAATATTATAGAAAATAATATAAAATATCTACGAGTTTAGTGACGGATAAATGCATAAACCTTACTCGTTCTCGTATGAATGTGCAACTCTCTTGCTTATTCCCTGAATTTTTTGATAGCTCAACTACACTAAACTAAGTAGATACAAACATGCACTCTAGAAATACAAAACCCTCCCAAAAGCTGCTGTTTCACCGACACCACTGTTGCCATTCAGAACCGAATCGTTTTTAACATTCACACAAAAGCCAGACCGAGTTCTCAAGAACCAAAACAGCAGCTTAAACAGCGAAATTTGCACAAACTATAGTTTTTATTCCAATCGATATAATTCAGGCACTGTATATATATATTTTAGATGAAAACTTAAATTTAAGCGGCACCCGAAATGCAAAAACATTTGCCAATAAATATGATATAAATTATATAATTAATGGAGAAGCTCAGTCATTAATTTTCAAATGAAATGCCTATTTTTGCGAAATTGAATTATTATGAAATTTATTTAGCACTTAGCAAGCGACACAATAAGCCGTTTAATGTTCCATAAACACCACTTCATTCTACATATATTATTTAATCTACTCTTATCGTTTATTTGCCATCATTTACGGGCAATATATTTGCTCAAATTTATACTGTATATTTATTAAATGCCGCCAAACCAAACCTGCACACACACAGACACTACACCCACAGCCGTACTAAACTAATCGCAATCTCAATGCAATGCTAAATATCACATAAATATTTCCACAAATCTGTGCCATCTATTTGTCTTTGTAGATGCCCCACAGAAATACCAAACAAAATATATACGAATAATTATTATAAAGCAACAAAACATTTCAAAATGATTTTATTTACAACTTTTAGCATAAATTTTAATGTGTAAAAACAAACTAGAAGCGAACCCAAAACGTTGAGCAAAAAAAAGAACAAAAACCATTACTAATAAAAGGAAAAATATAATTACCATGCAAAAATCCAAATAAATATGACAGTGAACAACAAAAAAACGCATCCGAACAATGGGAAATTAATGATTTCCACCATGCAAAAGGGAGTTTGGGTTGGTGTTGGATCTGCTCTAGGGGTTGCGGCCGGAGGGGGCTGGCGCTAAAGGAGCTGTTGGCCTAATGAGTTCCAAGCCCGGGGAAATATTTCCTTCTACATACAAAGAAGTGGAGGCGCCTGCTTTAGGTATTTGCTTCGGGAAGGCAAGGCAATTGTGGGCAAAATAAAGAGAAGATCTACCAGTTAAAAGTGTTCGGCAGTTCCTTGAACATTTTGCTGATTACTCTGCTGAAAAAACTTTCCAACTAACAGCTACTCCTGTGAACAGCCAAACCTGGCAGACAGTTTTGTGCTAATCTGGCAAGTTTGAACTAATGAAAATGCATAACAAATAGTAGCTCATCTCTTGACCCATTTCCCGCCCACCCACAGGCGACAGAGCAACATCATCAGGCAGATGTAATTTTCACACAAACACACAAACAACGTGACAAACGCACATTGGGAGCCGACGAGACTGGGGGCCGTTCGCCCACATTATGATCTAAAATTTATAGAATTTATAAGCAGTAGTGCACCCCAAAGGGTTGACGCTGATGACAGCGCCACCATGAGACAGCCAAGGCAACCGCACCACAGATACATCCACTCAGAAAGAGGCGAACAGAGACAAGTCTCTATGGGGATGTGAGCAGGAAGCGAAATGAAATCAATTAAAACTGCAATTAAAGGTAGCTGACATAATTCGCTGTCTCTAGACTTTAAAATGCAACATAGCAGCGGCCCACATACACGTTCAATGCCCACCCAATGCCACCCATTGATTTCTGGCAGGACAGTGAAATCACATGGAAATGCAAACAAAGCAAAAACGCAAGAAAAACATTAAAGTTTGCTTAAGTAGGAGCGTTGCGACCACAGGATACCCATTACACTGGTACTTGGTGTCTCTTTGGAAATATTAGAAGACTAGATGCTGATTATTTCGTGGGTAAACGTAACCAGAAAACATGAATTTAAATTTATTTATACCTTGATGGACACTTCACGAATGCAGCATGCCCCTTTGGACGCAGCAGCAAGCGTTGAGTGGGCGTAGGCACTGGGTAACTGCAACGACAAACAGCGAAAAGGATCAGGGCAAAATGTTGCCCGGGCTGAGCTCACAAATGAAAACCGCAAACGGCAACGGGAACCAGCAGTGGGTGGAGCGGGAGCGGCAGCGGGTGCGAGATTGGAGGCGGAAGGATGTGTCCGTGCGTCCCAGTAGTTGTGTATACATGTGGTAGAGTATGTGTGTGTGTGTGTGGCCTGTATCGGGGAGCGCGCGAGAGGGGGCTGGCTGGGAATGATGTTGCCATGATACGCCTGCATAATTAATTCCCACCGCACACACAGATTAACAGAGAGAGGATTTTTCGCGTGAAATCAAGAAATTTCTACCTGTAACCCCAACCCGAACCCCCAAAGTCCAACCCCAGGAAATGCCGACAAACGGCAAACGGCACTGCCATGCAGACAGGCAGCCAGAACCCCACACAGATAAATGTACTCACACCCAGATAAACGCACCCACACACAATTGACAGCAGAAGTTTTCATAAACAGGAGGATGGGATGTCCATGCTCATAAAGCAGCGGACAACATTTTGGGCTGGGCTCTCAACTAAATTGCATTTAATTTCCTGCTGAAAACTATCTGGCGGAGTGCATCTGGTATTTACGTGTAACAACAAATGTAATTTCATGGGAAACCGTAGAAATATTTAAATGATTTTCTCCCCTAACGAGTGCTATTAACACCGTCTGGCTAACATCAGTGGACTTGCCCTGCAGCATCAAAATAAAACTGTGCCTTTCACAATGCCAGCCCTAAATAAATTGCTCACTCATCCAATAATAAACCCATAAAAACTAACGAGTGCTAAATTCTACATTAAAATATTATAAGTGTATATCAAAAATGCACGTACACAGAAAGTGTTTCAGCAAAAATGGAACGATTTGTATAAATTGAATGAAAGTCGAATGCAAGAATTTGTTTAATATTTTAGCAAGCCATTTCTCTAAATGATTATAACCGCTTTGACCTTATACGTTCTTTAACTATACTCTATTATTTCCATTCCCTCTTCGACTACCTTCTATCACCTTCTACCTTCTATATGACACTTGGTAAGTTTACCCAACAGAGCTTTCACTGTACATTCTGTCCGTACCTCTGTTCCATCCTGTAGCTTGCTCTCCAATTGCACTCTTCCCCAGCTTCTCGGCACCCACACTCGTAAGGGTATTACTTGGCACAACATTGTGGCAGCTTTACGAACCAATTTAGTATGCAAGTGCGTTAGACTGTCGGTCCGTGCGTGTTTATGCGTATCTTTATGAGAGCGCTAATTTTTGTATGAGTAGTTTTATTGTTTTTTGCAGTTGGTATTTGGCCAATGAAAATTCGCAAACATTTTCAAAGAATTAAGCATTAATGCAATTTACTCGCACAGTTTTTTGCATTTTAGCGCAACAATTTGAATTGCATGCAAAATCATCTATGCAGAAACCGAAACGAAACAGATTTTAATATTACTTTTTTTGCTGTGGTTCTACGGAGCCACAGTTATAATTGCAGTTAATTGTTGTTGTGGTTAGTGTTAATTTGCGATTGGATGGGGTAATTGCACGGGCAAGCATAAAAAATACAGATTATTTTGGGATCGTTGAAGTTGTCCTGAGAATAAAGTGTGCGTGGGAAGTTACAAATGTATTTTCATATGAAACGTTACCCATTTGCAGCACGACGCAAAGGTTCAGCGAGGGAACCTGACGCAACTATGTACATACATACAAACACATAAACATACAACTGTAATAACAAGAAAGTAAAGGAATTTGTATAAAAGAAGGCAGATAAAGACGAAAAAGAACATCGAACGCGTTTCATAAAACGAGCAATAAACACAGCCGCAAAAAAAAAATATTGATAAAATACATTTTCCATTACTACACACAATCGATCTGTATTCATATATGTATTTAGTCTATAACCATCAGGCGTGACCATTTAACCCCTTATTTTGGGGCGGCAAACCATAAACAATACAAATTTACGAGTGTGCATTGTGTACTAACATTTTGGCTTGCGCCCAAAACGAAACGAAGTAAAACAAAGCGCAACGGAAGAAGAAGGAACAAGTCAGCAAGCTGTGGGAGGGAACTCGGCTCTTAGTTACCCACTAATCAGATATAAAACTGCATTCACTGAGTGGCAACTTACTTCAAAGCAAGAAAAACTAGCGGCAGATGTAGAGTAGCAAAGGGAATGTAGAATAATTTCCAATACATATTTTTAAACTACAGGCAAATTTCTTCGATACACTTTTTCTGAATTGTTATAGAATCTTTGCAAATCTCTTCATCCCCTAGTCGTGTAGGGTATCAAGGCACTGCGCGTGGAGGACAGTGGAGTTGCTGCTGCTACTGCTGCCAACAGCTGGGAACGTTGCGAATCGTGTGCTAATCTTATTTTTATGGTCTCCACGGACTTGGACTTGTTCTGTGTC